GGGGGGGGGGGAGTGAGCGCTGAGCACCGACGTTTTTTTTTTGTCGGCGCTAGACGAAACCTCTCACCACGTCTTTATTCTCTTCTTGGCCTGTCATTGTGTGATATGTTTTACAATACTTCTTCGTAGTGGCCTCCCGACGTTGTCCAGCGTGTTTTTGGCGTCATTGGTTTGATTGTTTGGTAATATTAAGTGCGTGCCTGAGGATGAGCAACCGCGTGGTGTTGTCCTTACCGGGCGAAAGAAAAGATTGCCACCAGCCTTCGCTTTGGCGTGGCGTTACAGTTTCGCCCTCTTTTTGAATCTCATTGGGGTGGCTTATGTATTGCGTGTTTGGAGCAGATCTTGTTCTTGAAGGGGGACATTTGGTCCTCCTAGTTTTCAGCTGTGTCTTCTTGACCTCCATGGGGATGGATGCCCCTGAAAGAAAGAAGATATCTTTTTGTTGCCTAATTTTATGCCGCACTACATGACCGGCGACCCGGCAAGTCTAACGGTTTTCCCGGTAGCATGTTGGAATCTGATTCACTCTATGGAGTGAAACTAATCTTGGCTATTTGTCATGGTGTAGGGGTGGAAAACGACCGTAAACAGTTCGTGACAATATGAATATATGTGCCATCTTTTGTCACATTTTTTTCATCACTTTGAATCAACGCTCACATCACACACAGCAATTCCACCGTGCAGGAGCTCCAACCCGTAGTCACACAGAAGGGCTCCTCTCCCTCCGCCCCTCCTGTGGTGCTTGCCTCCGATTTTTTTGAACGAGAACCCTGCGCGCGACAAAAGCTAAGGCGGCACAGCATGAGGAGGGGACCGTGGGACATGAAAAAAAGAAATGACTCATGTGTTGGTGACATTGAGCGGGCTGTGGTTGTGACAAGACCTGTGGTTTCGGGTCTTCACGATTCGGGACAATAGTGGGGCCACAAACTGGGACGGCATATATCTGTTGTCTTTCGTAAAAAGAAGGGGCGGGGAAAGCACTTCTATCGCCACGTCCGATGGAGGTAGCATCCTCTTCTCATGAGCTGCACCAACCCCCGTGTCTTCTTCCCCCTCTGTGCGACCTGCTTGGCTGGATTTCAATCTCGACCTCATTTTCGGTCACTCACCTCGACCTTCCCATGCGGCACCGCAGCTAGAGCCGCTGCTCCTCTTCGGCCAACTTCGGAAGGAAACAGCTACTGTAGGGCGTTGACACTGTAGCCACCCGATGGCAACGCCAGGCACGCTCAGATCGAACCCTCCGGGCAGACTTGATGGCTTCAAAACCCGCGCACTACCACGCCTTGGGCGAGCGTGCAACAGGAAGGTTTCGAACGGGCCTGAAATACAAGCGCGGGGGGTTCGAACGGGTCCTGGTCGTCACTGTTTATTTTCGATCTTCCGGACATAGTTGCAATGAGTCATTGACCTCGCACTCACGAACTTCTTTTTGTTTGAATTTCATGTATAATTCGGGCGAAACGAGATTTCTAATCTGGCCTAGGAAAGGTCTCAGAGCAATATACTGTAAGCGCTACATGAGTACAAATAGTGTCGGCGCGTGTCTGTCCGCTTTATCTAGGTTTTAGAATACATCATAGCTTAATTTTCTAGGGGGGGTCGGCAGACCGCACGTGACCGCACAGCAGATTGCAGCTATAGACACGCTAAGCAGGAAGCACACTCTAAGCGGGCACAGCGACACACCCACAGCGGGCACAGCGAGCGACAACATACAGCGGCCAGAGAAATAGAGGGTGTAGCTGAGGGTGTAGCTGGTGGGAGCTCATGACAGTTGAACGAACAGAAAAATCAAGCAATCGATTTCTTCAGACCTGTACTTTTCTATGCATACATCCACTGCTGCTGCGAACCAGCTGCCCCAGATATAGTTTCTAGCAGTCAAGCCATATCGTGCCAGTGTCAGCAGAGGTGCAGCGCAAACCAGAAGCCGTGCAGACGGTGGAGGTTGGTTGGGACACGCACGACACCGGTGTCGTAAGCAATATGTACGACACCGCACAAAATGCTTCGACACCACATTTTCTGAGTTCTGAAGGCTCTCAGCTGTTGCGCAAGCCCTCGTTCGTCCCATTGTGACCCATGCATTCCGAGAAAGGCCAAACATTTTGTCAAAGCAGTGTCGAAAATACCCATATTTACGCCACCGCCCGAAAATTTCCGAAACCACCTCCGATGGGCACGAAGCGAAGGTTGAACGTACCTACAGCAGGCAGCTGTAGTTGCGGCACACATGTAGGCCCAAAGGAAAATGGTATGTATATGAGTTGTTTATCTTGAGCTCCACGGACAAGCGCCACGAAGTTCACTCTTTCATTCTTGCCCATGACATTAATAGGTAGGGTATCCGGTGCCCCAAGTCCCACCGTGAAACCGAGTTCCCACCCTTCAAGACATCATGATTCACTGTCATAACCCTACATACAATACGCGACCGATTTCACTCGTGCGTTCTTCTCCATGACATTCATTCATTGAGAGGGTTTTCACTCGATATTTCTTCTCCATGACATTCATTGAGCTATATTCTGTATCCGAAGTCCCGGTGGGAAACGGAGTGAGTGGTCTTCACTCTCACGCATATACATCTTCTGGTTGGATCGCGTCATAAGGGTGAAAATGCGGGGCGTCGTCGTCAAAGATCTGGTTCACTTTTTTGGTCTTCAGCGTGGCTTCCTCGTTGAAGGAACTGATATGCATCTGATTGCCAAATTCTCTGAAACCGAAGTACTTTACACTAAGACGGTACTGCTGTAAGAGAACAGGTGTGAAAATTCCGCGGCATCGACAGAACCCAATGCAAAACGGTACCGATCGGAAAGTGTTGGGTTTCACCGAACCTGACAAATTTCACTCCTCCTATCGTCCAACAGCAGCAGCGAGACTCAGCGGGGTGTGGTGGTGTGTTCATTTTGTTGTTTGTCCCCGAGGGGACGGACCTCACAAGGCGGTAGTGGAATGCCGAGGAAATCCTGCCGGAACACTGCAAGCAGCGCGAACCTGGCGATTACAAAAACAGGTGTGAAAATGACACTCATTGAGCCAAAACTGAAGAAATCGCAAGCAACACCCAGGTGGCGATACTCTGCCCTGCGTCTGTTGTTGCTGAAAACTGAAAACAGCAGGCCAGGTGGAGGGGATCTTTCTAAGTGTGTTGTCCTCTGTGTCGAGTGCTGCATATTGCGCTTTCACCGCTGCTCTATGGTGAGCAATACCATGTCAACCTGTTGCGTGTCGAGCAAAACGTGTATTTAGGGAAGGAAACGAACTCTTTGCGATGACATCACGATAAGAACAAGGGAAAAATAATCGGATCTTCTTTTTTTCACCGTTCCGTGAAAAAAAAGCGTTTTTTTTTCGTTGCGTTTACAATAACCCTTTAAGTTAGCCCGTGACCACGGGAACCGACCGCGTCGAGTGTTCGATCAGTACGGACATCTGAAGGTACTGGGTAGAGAGAGAGATCGAAACGGTTTTTAATGTGAACACAACAACAGACAACAACAACAAAACAACAACATGGCCAAAAACTCTCATGTAACACTTCCTGGATCCTGTATTTTTAGTACGCCGTGGAAGGGCCATCGTCGTCCGTCCGTCGAGCGACGACGACTAGAGATTCCCTCTCTATCTCACACACACGCGCGTACACACAAACAAGCTTTCTTTTTGCTCATCATGTACACCCCGATTTACCCTCTGCTCGTTCGTGATGATGGTCGTCATGGGTGCTGGGTGTGGATCCGATTGAGTATCGTTAGGTACAGCAGCAGTGAGACTCAGAGGTGTGTGGTGTGTTTCATATGTTTGTTGGTTTTGCTGTTTGTCCCCGAGGGGACGGACCTCACAAGGCGGTAGTGGAATGCCGAGGAAATCCTGCCGGAACACTGCAAGCAGCGCGAACCCGGCGATTACAAAAACAGGTGTGAAAATGACACTCATTGAGCGTCAATCAGTTTTCACACTGATTAGAACAGATACTACACATGATCTTAGCCAAAAGGCCGAGAAGGCATGCTTGACGTGGGGAAGGCGGGCTCGGATACATAGGGTCAAGGCGAATGGACTCACTGTTTTGACCTACGCCAACCGGCCCCGGTGGTCTCGTTGGTATCCGCGAAACCTTCTAGCGGTCAGGTCATGGGTTCGAATCCCGGCGTGAGCGAGCTTTTCTTGCATAGAAGGTGAGTTTTTGTCTCGCTTCCGCTCCTGGTCTAGTGGATAGCGCTCGTTCGTGTGTACACAGAGGGAAGAGAGTGAGTGCTGAACTCTTCTCGCATTAAAAATTGAAGGCAAAGTACCGCGGGAGGGGAGGGTAGAGAGGGGCTCTTCTGTGTGACCACGGGTTGGAGTAAACGGCACTGGTGCATCACAGCAGTTACGTGACTTCTGCCTAGCCTTGACCTCTCTCTGTTGATGATGATGAATGGCCTTGAGCAACACTACTGCTGTATACTCTGTACGGCGGCAGCAATGATAGACTAACAACAACAGCCGGGTGCTCACAACAACCTTTGCAGCAGCACAGCACCAGCACCAGCACCAACCAGCAGCACCAGCACCAGGCAGCAAGCAGCACAACAACATCATCAGCAGCGATTGAGGGAGAACTACGTACGCTACGGGTTCGCGTCGGTCCTAGTGTGCGGCGGGTCGCTGCTGGGTGCCGGCTGCTGTGTGTAGGGTCTCGACTACAGTCGTGTCTGTTCAGTTTGGATATTGTTGTCGTTGTTGGTGTTTATTGTTGTGTTGTATTGTTGTATTATTACCCCACGAGTGGGGTCAAAAATCAGCGAAACTCCTTCAGGATCCTCTCCGCACGGTTCATCCTAGTAAAAGGCGAGGGTGAAGTTCGTGATGCGAGAGGATCGGAGATGCGTGAGGTGACAGGGCTAGCACGGATTTCTATAGTCCAGTCTTCAATAACCACCTTTTTGGTCTGCGCCAAAAGCACAAATTTCCCAATTTCTCGTATTCGCCCACGGTTCCAACTTGCACCGTGTCAAGATACAAATCAGTCATCATCCCGGCTGAAAACAGCATTCACCTCGCATGTTTCTCGTTATTATCCCTCTACAACTGCAGTGACAATACCCGCTCGCCGTTATAGTGTTGACTGTGCATATATATGACCAATCCCCTCCAACGTGCAGTAGTGCCGGCTCGCTCGAAAAGCATAGTCTCCCCCCAGTCATGGGCAGTGCGTCTTATGCTGTGTTGTTTGTAGTTTGTTGGTGTCATGTGTAGTGTGGTGGTTGGTGTTGGCTTTTGTGTGCGTTGTTCGTTGGTGGATTGGTGGTGGGAGGGTCGCAAGCGAACACCTCCCCGGAAAAAAATTATGCGGTAGAGATACCCCCGAAGGAATATTCTCCAGGGATTACAGCACTCCAGGGTCTAGCCCAGTGCAGAGAGCCTGCTCCCCCTGGGGTCACCAGTCATCTTGACCACTGGCAAGCCCCCGCCAGGTAAGTATGCTTTGGAGGCTGGGGTACGGGATCGCTCTTATAGTCTTGTGCCCCAAAACTCACCATTTTGGTCTGCGCCAACATGCCCAATAACTCTCTCTCATGTACTTCCTGGATCCTGTACGTATATCGTTGTCGTTGTGTGGGCAAGGGCCGTATCGTCGTCCGTCAAGAGAGGATGTATACAATGTAAAATATTATATGTATAGATTCCCCCTCTTCTTCTAACACACACGCACGTACACAAAAACAAGCTTTGCTCATGTACACCCCGATTTACCCTCTGCTCGTGATGATGGTCGTCATGGGTGCTGAGTGTGGATCCGATTGAGATATTGTTGTTAGGTACAGCAGCAGCAGTGGTGAGACTCAGAGGTGTGTGGTGTGTTTCATATGTTTGTTGGTTTTGTTGTGTGTCCCCGAGGGGACGGACCTCACAAGGCGGTAGTGGAATGCCGAGGAAATCCTGCCGGAACACTGCAAGCAGCGCGAACCCGGCGATTACAAAAACAGGTGTGAAAATGACACTCATTGAGCGTCAATCAGTTTTCACACTGATTAGAACAGATACTACACATGATCTTAGCCAAAAGGCCGAGAAGGTATGCTTAACATGGGGAAGGCGGGCTCGAATATATAGGGTCAAGGCGGATGAACTCACTGTTTTGACCTGCGCCAACCCGCCAAATACTGCTTGGTAGATTGCAGCAACATGTACTTGTACAGAACAGCTTGGAACAGCCAACAGCACAGGAGCCACTTGACTTCGCTTGACTTGATCTCTGTCTGTTGATGATGACGAAGGGCACTACTGTACGGCGGCAGCAAAGATTGACTAACAAAAACAGCTGGATGATCACAACAACCTTTGCAGCAGCATGCAGCATGCAGCATGCAGCACCAGCACCAGCACCAGCAGGAAAGAGATCGTTAGCAGCAGCAGCTGTGACGGAGTAGGAGCAAGTTCTACCATGCGGGTTCGCGTCGGTCGTGGTGTGCGGCGGGTCGCTGTTGGCTGTCGGCTGCTGTGTGTGGGCTGTGTATGGGGTCTACTGCTGTATCTTTGCATACAATAGTTTGTATATTGTTGTCGTTGTCTGTTTGTTGCGTTGTTTTATTACTCCACAATGTGGGGTCAACAATGAGCAGAATCCTCTCCGCACGGTTCATCCTACAGTAGTAAAAGGCGAGGGTGAAGTTCGTGATGCGAGAGGATCGGAGATGCGTAAGGTCAGAGAGCTAGCACGACCACCTTACTTTTTCGTGTGCGCCAAAAGCACCCATTGCTCGAATTTCCTCCTCTCTCGCCCGTTCCAACTTGCCCGGTTCGTTGTCAAGATACAGTCATCCCGGCTGATAACAGCCATGGTACGGTAGACGTCCTCGCATATTTTTCGCACTCCCACCAGATACAGTCGACTAAACCGTGCATATTGTACGACCAATCCCCTCCAACGTGGAGGAGTGCCGGCTCGCTCAAAAGAAACATCAAGCGGTAATGATGCTATTTATTGTACGACACCGGTGTCGTAAATAATATTCCTCCGTATTTACATACTTAGCTATGCATACAGCGACACCGCACAAAATGCTTCGAAAATACTATACGTTCTCTGTGTTCCTACGGCTCTTCGCTGTCGCGCAAGCCCTCGTTCGCCCCACAGTGACCGGCGGTTGCCGAGATATGGCCCAAAGTGATGTCACGGCACCACCTCCACGATTTAAGCCTATCTACGACACCGCTGTCGCGCAAGCCCTCCGTTGCCCCACAGTGACCGGCGGTTGTCGAGATATGGCCCAAAGTGATGTCACAGCACCACCTCCGCGATTTAAGCCTATCTACGACACCTCGCGAAACTTTCCGAAAACAACTAACTTCAAAAAGTAAGCACGAAGTCAATTGCGCTGTGTTTCCAGGGCCCCCAGCTGTCACACAAGCCGTCATTTGGTCGAAACCAAAATGTGCTTCCCGAGATACGCCCAAGAATGAATGTGGCCGCAGCACCACCTCGCTCGCCGGTGTCGTAAATAAGCGTTGTCGTAAACATGCCATATTTACGACAACGCGCGAAATGTTCCGAGAACACATGCTATGGGCACGAAACCATGTTTTCCGTGTTCCCACGCCCACCATCTGTCGGACAAGCCATTATTCGGCCGAAACCAACATATGGTTCCCGAGATACATGTGGTTGCCGCTTACGTGTAGAGCTACATGTTGCCTTTCGCTCGTTCGCTAACGTCCGGTCATGTTCGGGCAGATGTTCTTGCTCCTGCTACTTCGACGCTTGCAGCGTTAAGTTTGCAGCTATTTTGTGGCACACCACACGCATACGTGCCTAGTTCGGCGGTGCAAGTTCGCTTTCACAAGGCTCTAGGTCTGAAACGGGGAGAAATGTTTTGCTTGATGATGTACAGTCAAGTTGCGAAGCATGTACTGCGTTCGGATGTTGACGTCACTACACAGACGCGTAGTCGACGGAACATCGCATGCTCTATCGAAGATAGCACCGGACGTCCGACGAACAATCGCGTTCGAAATTGGAGCAACCGATGAACACCCCCCCGGCACACGAACGCGCCAAGAGAAAAATACAGGATACTCGATGCTACCGCCGTACCGTGCCTTATTCGTAGGCCCAAAAGATTGGCGCTGACACATACCACCTCCGCTTCCCGCTGTAGGAACAACTTCAGGTATTCGGAGTCGTTCTTTTTCTCGTCCGCCGGTGTCCACTTTCGGTCGAATCCTTCATCCTTGTCGATATCCGGGACCGTCCTTCCGCCCCCGCAGGTTTGCGGGTGTCGCAGTACAGCCGATGTGCGATCGCTCCTCTTCTCGCTAAACATCAAAACGTCATACTCGCGTGTCCAACAGTTGCGGCCTCCTTTTCTCGAGGGCCTGCGTTGGATTTGCGGTCGTCTGCCCACCGAGCAGGTAGTGGACGTATGCCCCGAGTTTCCATAGAGCTCTATTTCTTCGACGAAAATACTATTTCTATTGGATTTCACATAATTTAGCACCACCGTGTCGTGCTATGCATACCGAAGGCGCAGAGTAGGCTCAGATCCGTATCAGTTCCCTCGACGAGTTACCCTCCTCGAAGCTGACGGTGAGACCTGAATTTGGCAGTAACGCACTGTAATGGTATGCCTCTGATTCGATCAAACAAGGGAGATATGCGTGACGGGGCCGGGACTTGGTTTCAGACCGGGATTTTTGGCACAGACAGTCCTCGATACGAATTCATTCTCGGTTTTGGCACAGACAGTAGTTAACATGGTCTTCAAGAGTGAAGTTCACTCATTCATTCTTGCCGAAAAAATTCATAGGCAGGTTCTCGGTGTCCCAAGGTTGCGGTGTGAAACCGGGCCCGGACTCCGTCCGAACATGCTGTTTCACTGCCGTTGCCCTACGTGAGAATTCACTTACTCCTTCTTGTCCAAGACATTCGTTAGACGGCTGTCTGTGCCAGAAATCCAGGTCTGAAACCGAGTCCCGACTCCGTCACGCGTATCTCCCTTGTTTGATCGAATCAGAGGCATAACATCGAAGGGCGCCAAAGCTGTTTCACTGCCAGCTTCAAGGAGGGTCACTCGTCGGGAGAACCCATATGCATCTCAAACAAGCCTCTGCGTTTTCAGTCGGTGGCCGAATTAGGAGAGAACTCTTGTTAATAATCTGTCATATCCCAAAACACGTGGTACCATGTCGTTGAAGAATCAGAGTTTCACGGAAACACGGTCTTCACGAAGTTTACATGCTTGTATTCATTCTTGACGATGACGTTCATCGGCGAGGTTTTCGGTGTCCCAAGAGTTGTCAAACTGAGTCCCGACTTCTTCAAAACATGCTGCTATACTGTCGTAATCCTACGTGAGAAGTTCACTCCTTCCTTCTTGTCCCTGACAGTCACATCCAGAGCTGGCTGTGATCGAAGTCCCGGTGACACACCCCGTCCCGACACCGGCACGTATATCTACCTTGTTTGATCGACTCAGAGGCAAGCAATCGCACGGCATCACTATTTTACTGTTCAGCTTCGAGGAGGCTTCCTCGTCAAGGGAACCGATGTGCATCTGAAGCCAAAACTCTGCCTTCTCACTACTTCAGCAGCATGACACTCTTGAACAACGGGATGTGAAAATACTGCGAAACAAACACGATAATCCAAGGGAAAGTTGTACGATGCAAACGGGCCTGATCAATTTCACTTCTTCCGGCCATGAAGTTTGCAGCAGATTCGGCTGTCTTCGGAGAAATACCCTACATCAACTGTGACAGGCGAGGATAATATCATCTATCTGTCGACCCACTTTGCGCTCCCGCCCAATCGCCTTCCTCCAATACTATGCACCGTCCGAAGCAGGGTCCGACCCGTACGCTCTTGCTGACGTTGCTCCGCTACGGCGTTTCCGTTGCTGACGCCACCGGCGCACTAGGCGACGGATGTTCGGTCTTCCACCCCCCACCCACCTTCCACGCTTTGCTCGTGGAAACTGAGGTTCGCGCCACCCCGTGGGCAAATGAGGCTAACCCCTTGCGGCCCGTACGCCCACCTCCTACAGATATTTCACCTCCGCCTCTTTTGAACATGTGCCCCCCGCCGTCTGTATTCCACCTTTCTGGGCCCTCTTCCCAATCCCACCGTCTCCCTTTTGTACTCTCATTTCTTCTCCCTATATTTCTCCCATCCACCTGCGCCCTCGTTCTGGGCCGTCGAAAGGCCGTCTTGAGAAAGGCAACATGTTGGTCTACATCCATAGCGGCAACCACATGTTGGTTTCGGCCGAATAACGGACTGCGCGATAGCTGGTGGGCGTGGGAACACAGCAAAGCTGGGTTGGTGCCCATTGGATGTTTTCTCGGAAAGTTTCGCGCGGCGCCGTAAACAAGACACCGGCGAGGTGGTGCTGCGGACATTCTTAGGACGTATCTCGGGAACCCCAAGTTGGTTTCGGCCGAATAACGGCTTGTGCAACAGCTGGTGGGCGTGCAGCTAAATTAGTTTTGTGCCCATTGGATGTGCTCTCGGAAAGTTTCGCGCGGTGTCGTAAATATGCCATATTTACGACACCGGCAAGGTTGTGCTCAGCCACATTCTTGGGCATATCTCGGGAAACCCATGTTAGTTTTGGTCAAATATTGGCTTGTGCAACAGCTGGTGGGATTGGAAACATGGCAAAATTGGTTTTGTGCCCATTGAATGTGCTCTCGGAAAGTTTCGCTCATGTATGACACCGGCAAGGTTGTGCTACGGCCACATTCTTGGGCGTATCTCGGGAAACATGTATTGGTTTCGGCCAAATGACTGCTTGGGTGGCAGCTGGGTGCCCTGAAAACACAGCGCAATTGATTTCGTGCCTATTGGAGTTGTTTTCGGAAAGGTTCGCGTGGTGTCGTAAACAAGCTTATTTACGACACCGCGGAGGTGGTGCCGCGACATCACTTTGGGGGCATATCTCGGCAGCCACGGGTCACAATGGGACGAACGAGGGCTTGAGCGACCGCTGAGAGTCCTAGGAACACAGAGATTGTAAATTCGGCGCATTTTGTATGGGGTCGTAAATATTACTTAAGACACCGTACTCACCGGTGTCGTAAATTTCATTTCCGAACATCAATCCATGTACGTGTGTATAGATAGTACTGAGCAATAACCTCAAAGCCTTACAGCATAAACCAATGTCATCTTCAGAGCGAGCGCAGGTCATTAAGCTTGGTACTATCTACAGTGGTAGTCCGCCTTATCCGTGCTCACGAAATATGGAAAGATCGAGACTAGTCTGAAAGTGTCGCCACTCTTGGTTGCCCTCGAAAATATGACATTGCTAAAGAGTAGCCTCGAGATTGTTGTGAAGATGGTTCAAGCGGGCCGGTAGAGCAGTATACTCTACGCCCAGTGAAACATTACGAAGGTGATATCGTTCAAGTGGACACATTACACATCACGCACTGCTGCATTCTTTGACAGGGGAAAACAGCTGATGTGTGTGTACATTGAACTCGGCAAGAATACATACCAAGCGATACCCCGGTATTTTTTTCGAGCCCGAACCCCCGCTCACCGAGGTCAACCTCTTCGAGCGTGCTTGCTTTGACCGGCGAGTATTTGGTGTCATTTCGATCCGAAGTTGGTGCGTTCTCGTCCCCCGACCGACATTTGTTCAAATTGACTCCAGCGTACTCCCGTTCCAGGTTGTTGTGCTGAAGAACTGAAACCGGATGATCTCCTTGGAGTCGTGTCACACGCTTTTGTTGCGCGCACCGGTGGAAAATTGGCTGCGGCTCCGTCGTCTTCGACCTCATCGACTCCCGCGGTACCGACGTCGACCCCTCAGGTCAACGTCGCCCACCCCACGTCCGAGACTCGAAGGACCCAGCCGACCCAGCCCCGCCTCCACAAGAAGAGCTGGTGAGTCGTTTGTTGGAGTAACAGCGCTCCAGCTTCTCGCGTTTGTTTGTGAGAGCCTGCCGGTGTATCTGAACGGTGGCATTACTTTCGATCTTCACGACCCGGAATGGCCACCGGAGGCTATCGATCGCCTGG